GTTAACCTCGAAGTGAGGCACCAGTAAAATTCTCATGCAGTTTATGTCGTTGCATGTTACAAGAGATATTTGAGTATGAAAGGTTTTTTGTATAGAAGCAATAGCTTCTGGGGAGAATATCCCAACAAAAAACTAAGGGAACTGAAGGGGATCAGTGGCGTGATCCGAAACTATAGTCTTTCCTGCCTTACTCCTCGGGAAACAATGCCATACATTCCCCACTAATAAACAGTTATTTTTTATAAAAACAACAAACTGGGATTCAGCCTGACTATTTTGCAAAAACAAAATACAAATGGTATCCCAAATAAACCGCCTACACTACTTTTGTTATTTCAATATATCTGAAGCAGGGATGGAAAATTCAGTACAATGGTATTTTTTTCAGTACTTTCATAATTCAAAGACCAGTAAGGAAAGTAGTAAAGTCGGACGAGGCCGACTATATGATACCCTTCACCACTATGGGTATATTAAACAGGACTATTAACATGAAATTGGATGAAATAAAATATTTGATATTTATCTAAATGTGAATCTACCAAGATCTATCCATAAAGTATGTAAATCGACTTCAAACACATATAAATAGGTCATCCGTTGGGCTATGTCTGTACTTCTAGAAAACGCAACTACGTAATTCAATGCTCAATTTTGTACGTTGTGCAAAATTTGATGTCAATCTGACTAACTTGAGGAGTTTGATGCCCAATTTACTTGAAATCGGTCGAAAATATATATGGAAGCTCTATCCAAATATTAAGCGATTTCAAACAAAATTGTCACAGGTTGGTTTATACTAATTTCAGAACTTTTTGTTCCTATCAGACTATTGGTTCCTTGGTGCGTCAATTACTTAAAATCAATCTATAATAAAAGGGAGCTATCTCTAAATCTGGATCGATTTTCACGAAACAAGGCAGACAGTACTATAGGCTCAATTCAGTACGACATGCCAAATTTCGTGCAAATCGAAGGATATATATAGGGACTTTGGTGCACCATTTATATGAAATCGAACGAAACTATATATGGGAGCTATATATAAATCAGGATCGATTTTCACGAAACTTGGCCGACATCATTCTAGACGTAAATGATTAGGCTGTACCAAATTTCGTGCAAATCGAAGGGTGTATAGGGACTTTGGTGCACCATTTACATGACATCGAACGACACTATATATGGGAGCTATATCTAAACCTGGACCGATTTCCACGAAACTTGGCAGACATCATTCTAGGCTCAATTCAGTACGTTATGCCAAATTTGGTGCAAATTGAAAGATATATAGGGACTTTAGTGCACCATTTACATGAAATCGGACCAAACTATATATGGGAGCTATATCTAAATATGGACCGATTTCCACGAAACCTGGCAGACATCATTCTAGACCTAAATGATTAGGCTGTACCAAATTTCGAGCAAATCGAAAGATATATAGGGACCTTTTGCATTAAATCGGTTAAATATATATATGGGAGCTATATCTAAATCTGAACCGATTTTTTCCAATTTCAATAGAGTTTGTCCTTGGGCCGAATAAGTGACCTGTGCCAAATTTCATCCAATTCGGATCATAAATGCGACCTGTACTTTGTTTACAATTTAACATGGACAGACAGACGGACGGACGGACATGCATAAATCGACTTAAAAAGTGATTCTATGCATATTCTCAAAAGGAACCATGTGTCTATCTCGTTTCCTTTTGCCTGTTACAAACATATGCACAAAGACATAATACCCTGTACCACATTGTGGTGAAGGGTATAATTATCGGTAAATTATCGATCGTTATCGATTGCTGATAATTTTATATCAACAATTTACCACCTTTAACAAAAAAGGTGGCAATTAGAAAAAGTGAAAGAATAAAAGCAATAAAAGTGATTTAAGAACAGCTAAAAACCAGAAGACGCCACTAATATGTATCAAAAATTTGTCACCTTAAACTAAAAACGCGGACAATTAGGAACATTTAAACTATAAAAGTGATTTGAGAACAGCTAAAATCAGAAGAGGCTACATAATTTGGATATACCAAACTACATATAACCCGTTCAATGGATTCAGCTAAAAAAGGGTAATATTTGATACGATACTTCGTGTATTTGTGTATAATTCTAAATAATGTGTTTTAGGACAAAAAAGAAATATGCTGCAGGGTTTCGTGAGGAATGGAAGGAAAAATTTCCTTGGCTTAATCAGGTAAAAGGGAGATAAAAAGGAGATATATCAAAAGAACGAAACCGTCTACAATTAGAAAGTGTATCAAATCTTATAAGGACAAAATATATTCTCAAATCACAAAATGCTTGCTGTTATGACTATAAAATTCCACAACATTTTATTAAGAAATAATAACTGTATATTTATTTACACAGAACGTTTGTAAAAGATAATCATGATCTCTTTTTTATGTTCCTTCATCTATATATGAAATTTTAACTATATATTTTTAAAGCAAAAGTTTTGTAAAATATACACATGATCTCGTATTTTATGTTCCTTAAATCGATATATGTATATATATATATACATCTAAATATATAAATGAATTTGTTATGTTTGTATTTTAAATGAATAAAAATTTTTGCTTCGTTTTTCTTAGCAAAGTACCTTCTTATTAAAAAAAGTACCGTTTTAGTACTTTTTAAAAATTTTGATTTTCCATCCCTGATCTGAAGCTTTCTGAAGTTTGTCCGTAACATGTTCTAAACGTTTTGAAACATCTTTCATGCTCCATATAAAGTCCTAAGTCCTTATCATCGCATCTTTGTGATATTCCATTTTTTCGTGGGCGGTAAAGCATTCAATAGCATCTTTCCAATTTGTAAGAAGGTGTGTCAGAAGTAATTTTGGGACTCGTTTTTTTGAAAATAAGATGACGACATAACAAAAATCACTTTTTGCTAAATCTGAATATGCGATACAAGAAACCCGTGGACCGGGACGGGTATAATTAAAATAAATAAGTGAAAAAGCGTTAAGTTCGGCCGGGCCGAACTTTGGATACCCTCCACCATAGATATACTGACAGGTACTAGAAATGAAAATAATGGGAACATACCAAAAAGTGGACCTATACCGACATTTCTAAAAAGGGATTATGTAAACCATAATAAAGAATTCAGTTATTTTCAATGGATAATTATACACTGTGGCTAATTGAAATATCGATTCTAGACCCCATGTATCTTTGGACCAAATGCGCTTCAAAAAATTTAGATTTCATCCAAACTTTGTCAATCTTATTATTTCTTCCAATCTTAGTTCAAATTCGAAGATGGGGAATATCGGTCCACTTTGTCTGGAACCTCCATACAGGGACTAGGTCTTAATGCGGGTTATAGTTCATTATCGAACCTTACCTTCTACTTTTTTTATCTCGATATCCTCCGCAGGTGAAATGATTACATCAGAGTCTTAGAACCAAACTCAAAACGCAGAACAAATCAGATAACCATTTTAATATAAAAAAGGGGGTTATATGGGGACTACCCCAAATTGGGGGCGAATATTAATAATTTTTGGTAGGGAGATTTGGTACCATATACGACTACAAAATACCAATTTGCAACAAATTCGGTTGAAAAACGCGCTCAAGAACCCCAAAATACCGAAAATTGGGGTTACCCTTATATGGGGGCTATCCGAAAAAATGGACCTATATTCATAATTTTTTGTGGAGAGTTTAGGGACCTATTAAGAACTCAAAATACTAAATTACAGCTTATTCTGCAGAAAAATACGATAAAAATCCTCAAAATACTGAAAATTAGAAGGTATCGTTATATGGGGGCTATCAGAAAAAGTGGACCTATATTTATAATTTTTTGTGTAGACATTTAGTACCCAATAAGAACTCAATGTACCAAATTTCAGCGTATTCGGTTGAAAACCAACCTGTGAGAAGTTTGTTCTCGCTGAATATTTGAACCCCAATATACCGAAAATTGGGGTTAGTCAGATACTGTTATATGGGAGCTATGCCTAAACGTGGACCCATAATTTAGCCAATTTCAATTTGACCTGCCTATTCAAAAGACGATTATATTTCTCTTTTATGAAAAATTTTGGCCTATCTCCATTCGTTTATACGCCAGAGTGATTACAACAGACAGACGGACATGGCTATATCGTCATAGAATTTTACGCTAATCAAGAATATATATACTTTATAGGGTCGGAGATGATTATTTCGATGAGTTACAAACGAAAAAAAAAATTAATATACCCTCCATACTATGGTGGAGGGTATAAAAACGTGCCGGGTCTGGTATACATAATAGGAAAAAGTGAAAAAGCATTAAGTTCGGCCGGGCCGAACTTATACTGACAGATACTTGCAATAAAAATATAGGGAACATGCCAAAAAGTGGGCATATACCGATAATTTTACAAACCGATGTAAACCATTATATACACCAAATACAAACTTCAGCAATTTTTAATGCGGATTTTTCCTAAAATCTGTATGATCCAAAAAGTGGACTGATACGCATGGTAGAGTATAAAATCATCAAACTACTGTAATTTAGATTACAAAGTTATATGAGGGTATGCCTAAAGGGGGACTAATATTGATTACATAGTGTAGGAAATAGTGAATATTTGGGGATATCATTATATGAGGTATATGACCTCATATAATGATACGACCGGTATATGCCAATTTTGAACTCAATATTCTACTGGTTTATCTCAATTCTTTCCTTTAGGAGGTATCACTATATTGGGGAGATGCCTAAATGTCTGCCGATATATTTCACTATAGTCATGTTTGAGTTTTTTTATCACAATATCTTTAGAAGGCGGAATGCTTACAACAGATGGCTAAGTAGTCTTTGTAGGGTAAAAATTGACTATTCCCCGTAACGACTACCCAACCGCAACACACGGAACAAATCATATAACTATTTTAAAATAAAAAATGGGGTTATATGGGGACTACCCCTAAAAAGGGGTGAATATTAATTATTTTTGGTGTGGAGATTTGTTACCATATACGACTACAAAATATCAAATTTCAGCGCATTCGGTGGAAAAACGCCATCAAGAACCTCAAAATATCGAAAATTGAGGGGGAACCTTATATGGGGGCTATCCGAAAAAATTGACCTATATTTATAATTTTTTGTGGAGAGATTTGCTACCCAATAAGAACTCAAATTACTAAGTTACAGCCACTTCGGTGAAAAAATCCGGTCAAACCACCCCCCCCCCCCCAAAAAAAAACTGGAAATTGGGACCTATATGGGGGCCACCAGAAAAAGTGGACCTATATGTATAATTTTTTGTGAGGAAATTTGGTACCCAATAAGATCCCCATGTGCCAAACTTCAGCAAATTCGGTTGAAAACCGCGCTCAAGAACCCTAAAATACCTAAAAAGCGGGGGGGGGGGGTACCCTTATATGGGGGCTACCCGAAAAAATTGACCTATATTTATAATTTTTAGTTTAGAGGTTTGTTACCCAATAAGAACTCAAAGTACCGAATTTCAGCGAATGCGGTCGAAAAATACCGCAAGATTGGGGGTACCCTTATATGGGGGCTATGCGAAAATATGGACCCATATTTATAATTTTTAGTGGAGAAATTTGCTACCCAATAAGAACTCAATGTACCAAATTTCAGCGAATTGAGTTGAAAAACGCGCTCAAGAATCTCAAAATACCGAAAATTGTGGGGTACCCTTATATGGGAGCTACACAGTGGGAAAAATACCGATCTAGCGCGCAGAAAATAAAAAAATGAACTTGAAGGAAACTTTAAAACATTAATGCAGTATAAAATAATCCGAATTAATAAGTTAGAACGGAATAACGGTACATTTAAAATATATATTTTATCCAATGTTAAAAATGGTATTTTTTAGCTATAAAACTGCAATGGTCGTGTGCATTCTGTGAATATATATTGGTATTTAATTAAATGGAATAGGTGAATAACCCATACGTTATTTTTATTTAGGTGTTTCGGGCTAAATATATGTAAGGTCCCTTTTTTAAATTCCTTCAATTAAAATAGGGGTTTCGTATGGAGTGCAGTCGAGTTCAGCGTTGATTTCTTTATTATTATTTTTTTTTGTCTGTCTAGAACATCATACTAAATTTTTTCCTGCGACTTCCTGCGACTCTCGGATTTATGACATTTTTTTTAAATACCAATTTGGTGTAGGAAGCTTTTTTAAGGTTTTGTTCAAATAAAATTAAAAATTTGTGAATTTTGTTGATATAATTGATCAAATATGACTTGGAATAGATCACAGCATAGCAGATAAGAAAAATACACGTTCAAAATGCCCGTCCTAAGGTTCCAGTGTAATGGGTGTGAGTATGAAAATGAGGGTATTTAAGTAAGCTGCTCAAAACATTGATTTTAAACTCATGCACTGAATATGCATTTATTCCAAATGTCTTTCTAAATAAAAATTGAAATAACAACGAATTCGGTTGTAAGAGTCTACTCAAATACCGCAGGTAAAGGGTCTACTTTATGAACCCTGAAAAAATATCATTGGTGTAACTTTCATATATACACTGTTTTACCTACATTTATGGTTTTCGCTATAAGCAAATTACAACAAAATTTCGTCATTAACACCAAACATCAACTTATACGAATAAGGCCTGTCTACCTTACATGCAAGGATTCGATGTTTAGAATGTATATTGCACATTTCATACCGACTGGTTTTAAAAATGTGGAAAATTAATAGCACCGATCGCCCACTTTTCGAAGAAAGGAAGGCACGTATCATTAATGATTTGAAGGAAGAAATGCACATTATTGTGGACACTCCTAAGTCAGTATCCGGAACAACAAATGATTGCAATACTGCTAAGCGTTTTTTTAGCCAACCTGTCTTGGCATCGTCGATAACTGGTGTTGATGAAAAATTAATTAAAAATTTTAGTATCATCCTTGTGTTTGTGTTTGCCCTTAACCCACTTTTTACCCTCCAAATGTTTCGAAGTTTTTAAAAAAAGCTCCCATTTTAGGAGTACTATTAGTTGTAACGAAAGATGTTGCTTATTAAAAAAATTTTAAAAGCTTCAAAATAGTAATTTTCAGCTAAAAATTTAAGTTTTTTTCTAAAAAAATCGGCGCTTAGTGGGTTAATAAAAAAATTGCTAAATTTTTTCATAAAATATAAAATACAGTAAAACATCTATTTTTTCATAAAATATAAAATACAGTAAAACATCTACTTTTATTTTCTGCGCGATAGATCTCCATTTTTTCCCACTGTGAGCTATGCCTAAACGTGGACCGATAAAGCCCATCTTTGAACTTGACCTGCCTGCAGACAAAGACTCTATGCAACATTTTGGCGATCTATCTCAATTCGTTTAGACGCTAGAGTGATTACAACAGACAGACAGACGGACATGGCTATATCGTTATAGAATTTTACGCTGATCAAGAATATATATACTTTATAGGGTCGGAAATGATTATTTCGATGAGTTACAAAAAAAAATATTCAGCGGTTTTTAATATTTTATGCAAAATGTATGATGTGTTTTGACATATTCTTCACATTTTTTTTATGATTTCGTCTAACATTTTGTTACATTCCCTGTGAAGGGTATAACGACACCTTTACCACTAAAATCGCCTTGAAATATAATTCTGCTAGAGGAATGGGAAATATAAGTAGACAAAATATGTATAATAATGTTGTAATAATTCGGCTTCCAATTCTGCTACTACAATGTAAACCTTGTTTCTATTTTTGTTTCGCCACTGTAGTTATGAAAAAATTATGTTGTTTTGGAAAACAATATTTTTCATAAAGAACGATTTAAGAAGTGTATTGAAAAATATTCTAAACAAATAGATGCTTAATCAAAACATTTTGTATGTGCGGGCCCAATTATATGACATACACTGTATATTCATTATATTTCTAGTTTTCAATAAATATTAGTGTTCATGAGTTTTCAAACATCACTGTTTCACGATAAAATAAATAATGAAAAAATCGAGGATGAAATATGATACGCTATGCATAAAATCGCTCTCAATTGCTGATTCCACAGTTTGAAGCAGAGGATTTGTTATATGAATACCAAACAAAAACGTTATCGCAGTTCAATCGGAATAAAAATATTTCCGATTTCAGTTGGCATGGTGGCCTTACGAAAGAAACAACTTGCTGAGATCAGAAGGAAAAAAAATTTTTGTTGCTGAATTACAATTTTATAAAAGTAAAATAAAAATCAACCCAAAATTCAATATTTTCTGTGAATATGTGAACAAAGAACAGTGATTGTGAAATAATAACATATCCGGAATTCAAGTTCAGAAATACTGACTATGGTAATTATGCTACGGAGAATCTATGTTCAAACCGGGAGTACACAAAATCAATCGAAATAATGTCCATATAAACAAGGCATATACATTAGGCCATCCAGTAAAGACAGTTTTGAATTTGAATTTCAATAAAAAAAAACCAGTAAGGAAAACATTTTGTATGTGCGGGCCCACTATATGATACCCTTCACCACTATGTATATTCAGGACTATTATAATTTATACGTGATATTTATCTAAATGTGAATCTACCTAGATCTGTCCATAAAGTATGTAAATCGACTTCAAACAAATATAAATAGGTCATCCGTTGGGCTATGTCTGCACTTCTAGAAAACGCAACTACGTAATTCTATGCTCAATTTGGTACGTTGTGCAAAATTTGATGTCAATCTGACTAACATGAGGAGTTTGATGCCCAATTTACATGAAATCGGGCGAAAATATATATGGAAGCTCTATCCAAATATTAAGCGATTTCAAACACACTTGTCACAGGTTAGGTTATACTAATTTTAGAACGTTTTGTTCCTATTGGTTCCTTGGTGCGTAAATTACTTAAAATCAATCTATAAGGCAGACATCACTCTAGGCTCAATTCAGTACCTTATGCCAAATTTCGTGCAAATCGAAAGATATATAGGGACTTTGGGGCACCATTTACATGAAATCGTACGAAACTATATATGGGAGCTATATCTAAATCTGGACCGATTTTCACGAAACTTGGCAGGCATCATTCTAGGCTCAATTCAGTACGTTATGCCAAATTTCGTGCAAATCGAAAGATATATAGGGACTTTGGGGCACCATTTACATGAAATCGGTCAAAACTATATATGGGAGCTATATCTAAATCTGGACCGATTTTCTTGAAACTTGGCAGACATCACTCTAGGCCTAATTCAGTACGTTATGCCAAATTTTTTGCAATTCGAAGGATATATAGGGACTTTGGGGCACCATTTACATGAAATCGGACGAAACTATATATGGGAGCTATATCTAAATCTGGACCGATTTTCACGAAATTTGGCAGGCATCATTCTAGACCTAAATGATTAGGCTGTACCAAATTTCGTTCAGATATATACTGTTTACATTAAATCGGTAAATATATATATATGGAGATATCTATCTGAACCGATTTTTCCCAATTTCAATAGGGTTCCGGGCCAGTACCAAATTTCATCAATCGAAATAATGTCCATATAAACAAGGCATATACATTAGGCCATCCAGTAAAGACAGTTTTGAATTTGAATTTCAATAAAAAAAACTATGGTATACATTCAAAAAATGCAGAAATGGATTTTTATTCAAAAATAAATTTGTTTAAACGTGAAAAATATATTTCAAATCTTGGAAAAAACAAATGAATTGCTGACGAAAAATGTGTGTGGTGATCAATTTGTGTGAATTCGATGCCGGTAGCTAAGGGATCACAGGTAATGCTCCTACAACGCCACAACTTTTTAATAGTCATTGTAATAATATTTTAATGTTTGTTTATTTGATATTGAAGTTTTTATAAAAGCATACACGTTGCTGAAGACGGTTTTTATGTATGTATGTGCAAATCTACGTAATGTTTTTTAAACACCTTTGACTATATGAAGGAATTATGTAGTAAATCCCAAATTAATAGAACGACGAGTTTCGACGAGTACCACTTTGAA